TTTTTTTTCAAAATCCAATAGAGTTTATTTAGGGGAAGGAAAAACTGAAGTCAACTCACTACTTTAGGTTCTGCATCTACTAATGTAAAGTCATCTTATTAAAGATATACTTTGGATGAAAATACATTTTCTATTTTTTTCAACCTGGAAATATCACGGAAGCATTACGGTAAAGGAATTATTGTGGTTAAAATGAACGCCGATGTGAAATTTCTTCAGGGGTTGAAAGGTCAATAATTATCCCCATAGAGTGGCTGGAATAAATCTAACAGTTACTCAGAAGAATTCTAATAACCTTATATAATTTCAGGGACAACAAGCTAAGCTCCACCCCACATTCACCAAAGTAATTAGGAGAGGACACACTGGAATGATGAAAAGTATACCCATCACCCATTCTAGCTCCACATGCCTATATGCATCTTGCTAATAATATTCTAATAACAACTACCGTGTTTCCCCGAAAATAAGACCTACCCAGAAAATAAGCCCTACCCGGATTTCTATGCACTGGTAAAATGTAAGCCCTACCCCGATAATAAGCGCGGATTGGTAGGAAGACTGGAATACCTTTTATCTGCCATAGCTTTCTCCGAGCCATTAGCACTTGCGCGGGTGTGCGTGTGGTGACTGAGGTCACAGGCATCCTATTGTGCACGTGCGCAGACAGCATTTTATCTACAAATGGTCAAAGGGATGGCTAGGGGAAAGGAGTTCATGCATCACTAGCGCCAGCCCCACCAACAAGGTCGGCTCCCCCTGTCAGGTTCCAGAAGAAGATGACTTCACTGTATTTGAATAAATGTAGATTGTTGTGTTATACTTAATAAAAATAAGACATCCCCTGAAAAATAAGCCCTAGTGTGTCTTCTTGAGAAAAAATTAATATAAGACAGTGTCTTATTTTCAGGGAAACACGGTATTATCTGAGATGTTTCCATACTTAAGCTGTTCAATAAAAAAGTGACAAATAAGTTACATAGTTTTTGTCTCTTCACCATGTTCCTGGACAATTACTTAAATGGTTTTATTTCTTCACTTCTACATATAAATGTATCTGTTATTAAGCACTTGTATAGTTTATTTATTTATTTATTTATTTTTGAGACAGAGCCTCAAGCTGTCACCCTGGGTAGAGTGCTGTGGCATCACAGCACACAGCAGCCTCCAACTCCTGGGCTCAAGTGATTCTCCTGCCTCCGCCTCCCAAGTAGCTGGGACTACAGGCGCCCACCACAACACCTGGCTATTTTTTGGTTGCAGCCATCATCATTGTTTGGCAGGCCCAGGCTGGATTCGAATCCACCAGCTCAGGAATATGTGGCTGGCACCTTAGCCGCTTGAGCCACAGGTATGGAGCATATAGTATGGTTTATAATGATAAGAATTGATAATATCCTGGAGGCTGAAGATAGAGAGATGGATATATGGCTAGAAAGAGATAGAGACAAACAGGACGTTATCATGGCTATACCTAAATGGTTTCTATGTGTTTTTTTTTTTTTTTTGGTTTGTTTGTTCTGAGACAGAGTCTCACTATGTTGCCCTTGATAGAGTACTGTGGCATCATAGCTCATAGCAACCTCAAACTCTTGGGCTCTAGTGATCCCCTTGCCTCAGCCTCCCAAGTAGCTGGGACTACAGGTGTCTGCCATAACGCCTGGCTATTTTTTAGAGATGGGGTGTTGCTCTGGCTCAGGCTGGTCTTGAACTGGTGAGCTCAGGCAATCCACCTGCCTGAGCCTCCCAAGTGCTGGGATTACAGGCATGAGCCACTGCGGCCAGCCTCTATGTGTTTTGTTTGTTTGTTTGTTTTGTATGTTTTTTAGAGACAGAATCTTGCTCTTTCACCCAGCCTCCACTGTAGTGCAGCACCCCAGTCATAGAAGCCTCCAACTTCTGGGCTCAAATGATCCTCCTGCCTCAGCCTCCCAAAGTGCTCGGATGACAGGCATTAGCCACAGTGCCTGGCAATTTCTATATATTTATAGATATGAAACTTTTTACAAAATTCTTATTACTAAGTATTTTTGTTTATGTCTGTATTACTTTTGCTTTTAAGCCCTATCGTTAGTTATTCATAGCCTATGTATAATACTTACCTAAATCTTTTTGAATGAAATTTTTACATGTGTGAATATTATTAGATAGACAAACCTATGATGTACATACCCAAAAGCCACATATTTTTTATCTAGATAAGGAGTTGGTTGTAGTGTGATATAAAATTGTGATCCGTTACTGTGACGGCCTCTGTTGACCATTCCAAGAATTCCCCTTTTATTATGAAGAACTGAAAAGTTTTCATCTAGGAAAGACAATAACCATTAGGTCATTAAAATATTTCTATTATCTCAATTGGCTAAAACAATTAAGAGACAAATAAAACCCTTAGTAACAATGTCAATCATATTTATCAATACATTCTGAATTGTTTGTTTCACATCATTTCCAAACATTCAAATGGGCTGTTAAGGCGGTGCCCGTAGCGCAGTGGGCAGGGCGCTGGCCACATACACCAAGGCTGGCGGGTTCTAACCTGGGCCAGCTAATACAACAATGACAACTGCAACGAAACAAAAAAAAATAGCTAGGTGTTGTGGTGGGTGCCTATAGTCCCAGCTACTCAGGAGGCTGAGGCAAGAGAATTGCTTAAGCCCAAGGGTTTGAGGTTGCTGTGAGCTGTGATGCCACAGCGCTCTACCAAGGGCAACATAGTGAGACTCTGTCTCCGAAAAAAAAAAGAAAAGGGCTGTTAAAAAAAGATAAGTTGTAAAGTCTTATTAGAACTATTTGAATATTTAGCTTTAATTTATCTTTGCCATAAATAAATGTGCAAAGAAAATTAATGAGGTAAAAAGAAACGCACGGTGCTTTGCTTAAGAAAAAAGGTCAACACATTTCTCAAGCTGTTTTGGCAGTACTATTTTATTCAAACGATCAAAGTAATTATTAAAAACAACATGTCTGAGAAGTCTTTCTCAGACCTGCCTCACCACCACTCCAGCCCCCAGCACTTAGCTCTAGGGCAGTCCTTACAATGCCCTATCATCTCTGGTTTACAAGATATTTCTTCTCTAGTACTGAGGCAGGGAGGCTGTCTCTTTGCAGTTTTAGCTCCAGGCTTCCTGGCATGTTAATCTGCAGAGGTGTGGCCCTAAGTGTTTGGGTAAATTGCCATTCCATGCAATTTTTAAATGATGATAAAGGAAATTAATTTATTTTTAATAATTAGCAAATACATTTTAATCTCAAGCCTTATATAGATGGACCAAGATTTTGTGGAAAGCAGTAGTTTTTTAAAATGAAGATTCACAAGTAAAAGGAATTGTATGCTGATTGTCTGACTACCAGGTTCAGGAAGAACCATTTCCAGCTTTGCCTCCAAATTCAAATACACAGAAGGAAATGATGGATAAGAAATACAAGCTTTTACTTGATAACTTTATAAACTGGGAATAACTCAAAATTACCATGAAGTGAGGAGGAGAAACTCATATTTTGGGGGTAAAATTTCATGAACTCCTTCAATATGAACATTAATTGTCCATAAGTTACTATTAAACCACAATTGCTGACTATTATTATTTTAAGTTTCTTTCTTTTTTTTTTTTTTGCAGTTTCTGGCAGGGGACCTGTTCAGAACCTGCCACCTCCTGTATATGGGGCCAGAACCCTACTCCTTAAGCCACAGGTGCAGCCCCTCTTTTTTTATTTTTTTTCTTTAGAGACAGAGTCTTACTTTTATCACCCTCAATAGAGTGCTATGGCATCACAGCTCACGGCAACCTCCAGCTCTTGGGCTTAGGCAATTCTCTTGCCTCAGCCTCCCGAGTAGCTGGGACTACAGGTGCCCACTACAACGCCTGGCTATTTTTTGTCGCAGTTTGGCCGGGGCCAGGTTTGAACCCACCACCCTTGGTATGTGGGGCGGGTGCCCTACTCACTGAGCACACGTGCTGGCCTTATTTTAAGTTTCAAAACTAAGCCAACCGAGCAATAAACTGTATCTGTGGTGGTTACTTTTAGCTTGTTAGATTGCAAAATGAAAAAGACCTCTGCAATTTTATGAAATGCAAATAAGGCATTTTTATACAAATGAATCTATATAATTACACTGATGCCCTCTATTCATTTCAGTGGAATATAGAAATAACCCACAGAAAATTACATGGAATGGAAGTCTGCCCAAAGCAAAGACTCAGATAATTTTAACAGAATGTATTTGTCATTACTTTTCAACATTATAATTTATTTTTCTTAAATTCTATAAATAACAGGAAAGAAAATTTATAGAGTTATAACATTTAGAACTTTAAAGCAGTTAATCATAATACCTGTCCAAAAACAATGCAACCTGTGTGAAAGCCCATGTATAAAACAGAATTTTTTTTTTTTTTTTTTGAGACAGAGTCTTACTGTCACCCTCAGTAGACTGCCATGGCGTCACAGCTCACAGCAACCTCAAATTCTTGGGCTCAAGCGATTCTTTTGCCTCAGCCTCCCCAGTAGCTGGGACTACAGGCACCTGCCACAGGCACCTGCCACAATGCCCAGCTATTTTTAGAGTCGGGAGTCTCACTCTTGCTCAGGCTCGACTCAAACGCCTGAGCTCAAGCAATGCACCTGCCTCCGTGCATCGATTACTGCCTCGGTAATCCAGAGTGCTAGGACTACAGGTGTCAGCCAGTGTACCTGGCATAAAAATAAGTATCTCCTGAAGATACTTATTCAGGACCCTGTAGAACTCTTCAGAGGACAATTTGGAAACCACTTCTATAAACAGACAATAAAGTATGCTTTTAAACAATGTGTGTAGCCCCTGACTTACCGTTTTAAAATGTATTGACTGAAAAAGAAATGTGAAAACTAAGTGACCTAGCCAGGCGTTGTGGCAGGTGCCTGTGTTCCCAGCTACTTGGAAGTCTGAGGCAGGAATCAAGCATTAGCCCAGGAGTTGGAGGTTGCTGTAAGCTGTGATGCCACGGCACTCTACCAAGGGGGATAGCTTGAGGCCCTGTCTCAAAAAAAAAAAAAAGAAAAAGAAAACTAAGTGACCACATTAGTCACTAATTTTTCTATTTTTGTAGAGACAGGGTCTCATTCTTTCCCATGCTGGTCTCCCAACTCTTGGGTTCGAGCCATACTCCCACTCTCCCAAAGTGCTAGGATTACAGGTGTAAGCCCGTTTGCCCAATCTGTAGTTGTTTTGAACAAGCCCTGGACTTAATTCTGCAACTCATAGAAATAGGCTCCAATGAGAGAAATGTGAAGGAAGCACGGGCTGTCTGCTGTATTAACATTCTCCAGGCGGATGAAAGGATGAGAGAAACCCATGCCTTGGCTGTTTTGAGGACTGGCCATGCTCTCTCTTTCACAGTGACTCATTTTTCCTTCGGGATCATCTGTCCTTTTCACTTGATTGCTTCCTGGATTTTTTTTCTAAACACAGTGGAATTCTATGGGCAGCAGAAGGCCAGAAAGGCCTCACTCTAAGGCTGGGTGTGGTGGCTCACGCCTATAATCTCAGCCCTCTGGGAATGCCCAGGCGGGTGCATTGCTTGAGCTCAGGAGTTCAAGACCAGCCTGAGCAAGAGAGAGACTTCATTTCTACTAAAAGTAGAAAAACTAGCCAGGCATTGCAGTGGGTGCCTATTGTCCCAGCTACTTGGGAGGCTGAGGCAAGAGGATCACTTGAACCCAAGAGTTTTAGGTTGCTGTGAGCTATGATGCCATAGCCCTCTACCAAGGGTGACAAAGTGTTACTCTGTCTCAAAAAAAGAAAGAAAAAAAAGTAAGTAAAGAAAGAATAGAAAGGCTTCATTCTGGAGACTAAATACCACAGTGGTCTAAGGATGGGAGCAACTAATCATCAGCAGAGCTCTGCACAGGGATATCTAGAGAGTCAGTGGAGGTCGGTGCCCAGTCTCCTACTGGACAGAAGGCCACATTCTGTCTGGAGCTGTGATGTGATAATTGGTGTGGGGAGGAAGAGTTATGGTGGACCTTCATCAGGGATTAGGGAGTCCAGGGAAGCTTCTGGGATAGCCATCTGTCCCATCTGACTTCCCATCTGCAGTGTCTTCCTGCAGACCCTACTTAAAGCTTCTCTGTGCTACCCCTGCCAGCTCTCCAAACAGCCAGTCTCTCTTTAGTATTCAGTTCCTCCTCTGTAAGAGCAGCTGGCCCCGTCCCTGTAAATTATCTGTTTGCACAAAAACCCTACAGTCCTTCAGCATAGAAATGTGATGCTGCCCTTTGTTTCCGCAGGTCCTAGCACCACATGGGCACCTACGCTGGAATCTAGTATTCTCCTATGTTTTCCTTTGATAAGGCTCTCTGCACAAATTTAGAAGGAAATTAGCTATTATTTTTCCCTTCACTTTGGCCATTGGTTCAATAAAGAATCACTAGTAGTGTGTTCTTTCAACAAAAGGCTTGTAAAGTCTAGTTGTCGTTTTTGTGAAGTCAGCAGATATTGAAACAACAAATATTCAGATCCATTATTTCACTGGGAGCAGCACAATGGTGATGTTCTAATTCTAATATCTCCTTTTCATTTATTACTCAGGATGTTTCTGGCTGTAGTGGCTCATGCCTGTAATCTTAGCACCTTGGGAGGCCTAGGCAGGAGGATCGCTTGAGGCCAGGAGTTTGAGGTTGCAGTGAGCTGTGATGATGCCACGCAACCCTCTAGCCCCAGCAACCAAGTGAGACCCTGTCTCCCCACCCCTCAATAAAAGAGATGTTTCCCCTTATCTACAATTTGTTTCAGTTCACGTAGGAAAGGTAGGATATGTGCTTGATTCTTTCCCTAAATTTATAAGGTTCTTTTTTATTTTTGGCCGGGGCTGGGTTTAAACCCACCACCTCTGGCATATGGGGTCAGCGCCCTACTCCTTTGAGCCACAAGTGCCGTCCAATTTATCAGTTTTTAAGATTATGAAATATTTTCTTGTCATTCACCAAAGGTAACTAATTAGGCTTTATTTTATAAAATAATATTTTTATGAACTCATGGATTTAAACTATTTTTTGAGTTTTGATCACTTGCCATCACTCATATTTTGAAGTTCAAATTACTCCATCTTCAGCCAGTAAGAACCTCTCCAAATTGGCTCCCGAGACCTTTTAAGTTTAAAGTAATCTTTAATAGTGCTTTTGCTATCTGATAGAACATGAGGTTCCAGGCTCCTTTTGTACATTTTCTGCCTGAGACCTAGCATCTGCCATTTCTCCCAGAAGCCCTAGTTTCCTTAAGTGAGAAATGACACTTCAAAAAAACTCTTATACATGCTAGAGTACTTA